ACAGCACTCTGCCCAGGGGGACAGCTTGAGGCTCTGTCTCAAAAAAAAAAAAAAAGATGAAAAAGTTCTGGGGATGGATAGTGGTGGAGGTTGCATAGTAGTGTGAACGTACTTAGACAACTAAGAATGGTTAAAATGGCAAATTTTATGTGTATTTTACCACAGTTAAAAGATACAGAGGGCTGGGCGCGGTGTCTCATGCCTGTAATCCTAGCACTCTGGGAGGCCCAAGGTGGGTGGATTGCTTGAGTTCAGGAGTTGGAGACCAGCCTGAGCAAGAGTGAGACCCGGCTCTAAAAAATGGGTGGGCATTGTGGCAGGCGTCTGTAATCCCAGCTACTTGGGAGACTGAGGCAAGAGGATCACTTGAGCCTAGGAGTTGGAGGTTGCTGTGAACTCTCATGCCACCACACTCTATTCAGGGTGACAGAGTGAGACTGTCTCAAAAATAAATAAAATTAAATTAAAAAGATAAAAGATACACAGAGACAAAAATACATACCATGAAGTAGATGTGTACATGCTGAGGGACAAAAACACTTAACTCAGCAACACACATGCCTGCCTCCCTCCCCTTCCAACACAGATAAGACTCTGCTTCTTCAAACAAATCTGGAGATAAGGCCCTAATGAGAGCTCTACCACCTCACTGCCCCCAAGCTCATTACCCTCCCACGGCTTTGTTTACCTCCTGCCCCTCGTGTAGCCTCCTATCCCCCAGGGAAGGTCCTCCTTGGGGTGCCTGGTGCTCCCATTTCTGCCCTGGCACCCAGGAGAGGGTGGGATGGCCCAGCATTTCAGCTCCTGGCCTGTGACTCACTCATGTCCTCCCTGGTTCCCTTACTTTTAGGCTCCTTAAGGATACAGTCCCAGTTCAATTCAGGGAACTACTAACTCCTCCCAGCCCCCACTGTATGTGCAAAGTTCTGTGGACACAGAAGTCCTGGACATGATCACAGACCAGATAAAACAAATGCATTCAGTGCTAAACAGGGCCCTGGGACATGGCTTTAGGTTCCTGTACTCCCTGCTATCCTCATTGGATCTCATCTCTTCATGGACAGGTGATATCCCACTTCTGCCTGGCCTGCCCCCCCACCCACCTCCACTGCATTTGCCATCTGCTGACCCTTTTCTCCAGGGCAAAGCCTCATCCTTCCAAGGACAGACTGTACATGCTGTGGGACCTTGTCCCTTAGTGGGGCAGAGGTCAGAAATCTGCCAGCTCTGTCTGCCTCTTGACTTGCAATGTGTCTACTCATCATCTGAAATAAGCTTTCAACCATTTAAGGCTCAACCCTGGAGGAGGAGAGGGGTCTGACCCCCCACCAAGCCAAGAGCATCCCTGGAGTTGAGGGTGTAGCATCTGGAACGGCATGTCTCAGGGTGGACCTCAGCCCACTGCCCCAGCTGCACCAGACACTTGTTAAAAACGCTAGCTCTAAATGCCTACTAGGACCTTCTGGATCTAAGTCTCAGCATGGGGTGGAGCCCAAGAAATCTGCATTTTAACACTTGCCAGCCATTCTTGGAGTCTAGAGTGATATCCACTGTTCCAGATCCTTGGAAGATGGGCTTCAAGCTGGGAGGGGGTTGGGGCAGGGCACTCTAAGTGCCACAATTAGGAGCATGGAAAGTGGCAGGGTGATTGTGGGCACAGAGGCCTGGGTGAGGACAGGTGTTGATGTCCTTAGTGGTTCGGTGTGACACTTCTTCAGCTCTTATTTAGGGCCCAGGGTCCTTGGTGGTATGTGTAGTAGGGTTGTGGTCAGTCTCTAAATTAGTGTTTGGGCCAAGTTATATGAGTATGCTTGGTCAAAATGTACAGTCTGCCTGCACTGGCCAGTCATCCATGCTTTCAGTTGTCAATATATCAGCAAATCTGCCTGTATGTTCATGTCTTTTCCTGGGTGTCTTGAGTCATTCATCCACTCTGGAGTGCGTGCATGTGTGTGTGTTGTGTCCCTAAGCAGGCACAAGGCACAGTCCCCTCTGGACTGTAATCCAACCACCATGGGTCCCTGGAAGGTCAGGGTTTGGAGACTTGCCAAGAGCCTGGTGGGCGTGCAGGGGCGCTGTGGGGGGGAGGGGGAAAGGGAGGGGAGGCAGGTAGCAGTGTGTACTAAGGGCCTGGCACTGCCACTTCCCTGGCAGGCGAGTCCTGACACAGGCAGACAGGTGGGGCTGACCTGACAGGTTCCAGAGGCCACGGGCAATGGGGCGGAGCATGCCTCTGACTTAGGGTGGCAACAGTTTGGGGGCCCTGCCACACAGAGAGCGAGCGGGCAGGAGGTAGTACTGCTGGTATCTTCTTCCTGCTGCTCCAGCCCAGCATGCAGGCCATGGAGCCTGCGGGCGGGTGAGACAGCCAGCAGGGCAGGCATGTTCAGAGGCCGAGGACCTGGGGGCCTGGCAGCCCAGGGCATGGCGGGACCCCTGCGAGGCCGGGTGGAGGAGCTGAAGCAGCCATGGTGGCGGGAGAGCACGCCACTGGTGCTGAGGCACAGTGAGGCAGCCCGGCTGGCAGCTGATGCTCTCCTGGAGCGAGGTGAGGCTGCCTACCTGCGGGTCATCTCTGAGGAGCGGGAGCTGCCCTTCCTGAGCACCCTGGACATGGACTACATGACCAGCCATGTGCATGGGGGCCCAGAGCTTAGCGAGGCCCAGGGGCCTGAGGCCTCTGGGCCTGACCACCTCAGCCTGCTCTCTGAAGTCACCTCAGGCACTTACTTCCCCATGGCCTCTGACGTAGACCCCCCAGACCTGGACCTGGGTTGGCCGGAGGTTCCACAGGCCACAGGCTTCAGCCCTACCCAGGCCGTGGTGCACTTCCAGAGGGACAAGGCCAAGAACATCAAGGACCTGCTGCGTTTCCTCTTCAGCCAGGCTCGCACGGTAAGGGCCTCATCTGTCTGTTCATTTCACAGATGTGGAAACTGAGGCCTGGGGAGGGAAAAGGGACTAGCCCATGGCCACACAGCAACTTTGGGGCAGAATTGGAACTTGAAACTCTGACACTATTAGATCACAAGTTCCTAGAGGCTGGGCAAGTGTCTTATTTACTGTGGCAACCCCCTGGTACTCTAGAATGTGATGGAATGCACGTAAAGTTTTGCCTGTTGGAGGAAGAGGTCCTCACTGCATCTTTTGAGATGGTCCATGGCCTTCATCAGATTCTCAAAGTTTTATGATCCCCAAACTAAGAACTTTAACCATGGAAGACATCTAAGCCACCCCCTTCATTTATATAGGAGGAAACTGAGGCCAGAGAGGGGCTGGGTTTTACCTTGGGAGGTCTAGTCAGCTGGTAAAACAGAGCTCAGGGTTCCAGGAGAGAAGGGGTCCCCAACTCAGGCCCTGGGATGCAGTCAGGGCCCTGCTTGCTGGCCTGTGTCCCCAGTGGCTCCTTGCCCTCCTGCACTGCCTCCGTGACTGGGCCTGAGGCAGGGGAGGGGCACTGGCGCAGGCCGCCTCAGCATGGTCTTGGAGCTGGTCTCTTAGCTCTGAGCCAAGGAGGAAAGGGCAGTGGAGGCTGCTGGACTCAGCCCCGGGGAAGGGGGACACAGGAGAAAGAGAATCAGGAGGGCAGGCAAGGGAGGGCACAGAACAACAGCTTCACTACTAGGCCTGGCCTCTGACTCAGGAGACAGGGGAATGGACAAGATGACCCTTGGCAGGATTTGAGGTAGAGTTAAGCTCCTGCAGCAGAGATGAAGAGGCAGGATGCTGGGATTCTGTCAGTACACCCAGAGTCTTCCTGGCAAGCCTGCCTGTGCCCCGGGCAGGGGAGGGCCAGGGCTGATTGGCATCAGGAATGTGGTTATTAGTGAGGCTCTTGCTATTGTCGTTGTCACCCCTGTCTCTTTGATCTTTCCTGCCTGTCCTTGTTCCCCCCACCCCTGGCCAGCCTGTGCAGTGAACTAGGACATCCTGCCTTCTCACCCCTCATTTAAACCCCTGCATCCTAGGCTAGGAGCCAGGCTCCCACTCTGGGTTGTCACTGACTCTGAGCAACCTGAGAAATGGTCCCTTTCCCTGCAGCTTGGCACCCTCAGTTGTAAAAAAGACAGCAGGAAAGATCACCAGGAATGGATCACATACCAGTGTTGTGTATTGAGCATTTTCATATTCAATTCTCCATAACTTGGCTGGGTGCCTGTGGCTCAAGTGGCTAAGGTGCCAGCCACATACACCTGATCTGGCGGGTTCGAATCCAGCCTGGGCCCGCTAAACAACAATGACAGCTGCAACCAAAAAATAGCCGGGTGTTGTGGCAGGCGCCTATAGTTCTAGCTACTTGGGAAGCGGAGGCAAGAGACTCGCTTGAGCCCAGGAATTGGAGGTTGCTGTGAGCTGTGATGCCATAGCACTCTACCCAGAGCAACAGCTTGAGGATCTGTCTCAAAAAAAAAAAATTCTCCATAACTCAAAGATACAGCTATTATTATCTCCATTTAACAGATGAAGAGGCTGAGGCTTCTAGAGGTTAAGTGACCCTCCCAAGGCCACATCTCTAGGAAGTGGCAGCATCCAGGTTTGCACACAATTCTCTCTGCCCCAGAGCCACATGTCAGACCTCATGGGCGATGGGAAAAATGTCAACTGAAGGCTTGAAGGTGCCAGCAGGGCTTTATTTATTTTTTTTTTTTTGAGACAGAGCCTCAAGCTGTCCCCCTGGTTAGAGTGCCGTGGCATCACAGCTCACAGCAACCTCCAACTCCTGGGCTCAAGCGAGTCTCCTGCCTCCGCCTCCCAAGTAGCTGGGACCACAGGCG